TATATATACACCCTACATAGCACAATGACCAATGACTTATGGGGCTGGCATAGATTTTTTTCCAGGGCTGCTTTGTATCCCCAGTCCGGCCCTGTTGTGAAGGCATGTGCTGGATGGTCCTTGGTGGACACCATAAAACAAAAATAACTTTTTCAGGATATATAATCTAAACATGCTGTTTCCATTAGGCCTGTGGTGGCCTTCTCACAGGGGACACAAGTGTCACCACCAAGGACTCCCTTTCCCTCAGTGATTAAAGCCAGAGAGCATAGTAGAGCATTATAGCTGTTAAGCAGACTCACCCCAAGTACTAGTTGAAAGTTAGTGTAGGGTGAAGTATAACTGGTTTTATTGAGAAAACTAAACAGCAAGTCCCCAGGAGAACAATAGAAATTGCAACATACCTGGTGCCTAGGTGTCTGTACCTGAGCAGGTAAAATTTAATTAGCGGCCAGACACTTTGGTGCCAGATTACAATTTTATATAATACGCAGGGTTCCTGTGCCCACATCCCCAAACGTCTTCCCAGAAAGCTCTCTTCTAAGCGATCATTCTGTCCAAAAAGCGCTGGGATCGGAATTGGCTGGCCTGAGTTAGCTGGAAGTAAAGTTTTGACCTGTCCGCGGCCGTCCTCCAATCTGGCATAGTGTTCCAAAGCCCTTGGTAAAAAACCATGGCTACCTAAAATAACTGTGCTTTTCGTGGGTACATGGAGCTCCCCTAAGTCCTAGGTATAATCCTCTATCAACCCTCTGAATAGCACTCTAATAGGTGACTCTGGGACTGAGAGAGCTCATGGCAAAGTTTTATCAGACCGCGGCTAGTCCACGATCCGATCAGGAGTGCTAGAGCCATTGGTCATTGGTGGTCAGCGACCTTCCTACGGGTCTATAATGCTTCTTGGGCCACTGGAAGTTGGCTGAGCTGGGGGTCACGAACTGGAGAGTTAAATAATGTGAAAATATCTCTTTTAGAGGGAGACATGTACCATCGTTGGGTGACAGGGTGGTCTGACACAAGGTCTTAATGAGGAATGTAACTTCGGTCCCTACAGATAATGCTTTTGATCCTCTGTCTGTTGAATAATCTTCACATAGTTTTATTTTTCTGTTTTAGATGGTTTGTGTCCACCTTGGAATTATTGAATAAGCACTGGTTACTGGAGTTCCGATATTGTGGGATATAAAAATCCTAATTTTAAGGATATTTTTCATTTTTGATGTTTTGCTAATTTGGATTTCTGCTTGTTTTACTTCTTTGTATCTTTGGTGTGTATTTTGGGTTAGTGTGATACATATCAGGAATTAGTTTATAATATGTATGATCTTAAGGAAACTTTACTCAGTGGTACTTTTAGAGATACGGTACATGTATGTAATAATTGATCCTTGTTATAAAATAGGATTGGATAACTTTTTTGGGAGTTTATTTGGCATTTTGTTGTTATCGGATATATCGGATCTAAATTACATTGTTTAATGAAGTAATACTTGTTCAATAATATATTGAATTTTTTTTTATCATGCATATTTCAAGTTCTCTATTTGTATCAATTTATATATTGTATTAAAAAGGTTTAATTTGATTACATTATTATTATCATCGTCTACTTATGTGAGTATATAAGTACTTTGTACTTGCATAAATTGATAAACCTCAAAGTATTTACTGGGCTGCACAGTCATTATTATTAAATGATTAATTTTTTGCTCATATTGTGCTATTTAGATTTATTCCTACTGCTTATAGCACTTATGAGCTCTTACTGTTTTTATTGTTGGTGGTCCTGAGGACGTCCAGAATTGTTGGACAAAACGTAGGACCTACTGCAGCCTTTTTATTGTTTGGAATAAAGATTTTTTTATATCTTCACACAGGTGTTCCTGAGTGTTCCTGTAGCAACCATTGTAGAAATGAGGCATTCTCCTAGCCCACTTGGTAAACCTCTTAGAGCCTTTCAGACGCTATAAACGTATATATAAGTTAAATATACAAATATTTTGTGAGTGCAACCAATAAACAGCACTATCTTTGGTGTTACAATAGTTTACTGTTAATTGCATTAACTTTTTATCTAGGATGAGCTGAAACTCAGGAGATAAATAGTTTGGTAGATCACTTGTCCATCTTTTCCATTCATCTGGTGTCACAGATGAAACTCTGTATCATGAAACAATCAAAATGGTTCATCCTATACCCGTTTTGTTTGTTTTGTTATGCGTCCATATGGCATCTCGTAGTTCTGGAAATCAGAAGAACCACTGGTTGCCCAGAATTTTGATAAAACTTGCATCATATGAAACTAAATACAAAAGTCTAATGAAGACCCAATTTTGAGTCCTGAATAGGTGGTTAGAAATACACGTATATGCCATGCAATGTCTCTTGCAGACAGCCTGCAATCCTAATTCTGGCCATGCATAATTAAATTGTGCAGACTGCTATACAATTTTTGACCATACATAAATATATATGCAGCTACAGACGATACATCTCAGATGCTTTGTTCCCAGTAGCATCTGTCTATCTGTACATATCTCTCTGTATGACTAGTGCCTGAACATTGAATCTTATCGCTGAAATAATGTGTATTTGGACACCATAGAACTGTCCCCAGTCACTATTGCGCGAGTGCTTTATTAGATACACTTGCACTGTGCAACGGCACTAGGACCATGTGGGGGGCGGGGGGCTTTAGCAGTGCACCATGTACGATCATGATAGCAGAGGGCTGGCAAGGGCACCTGCCAGGCAGCAGTTTTGCCCCCTTTCCAGGGTGATTAGCCCCTTTGGCCCTTTTGCCAGGCAGCCCCGTGACGCAATTTGCTTCACTGGCAACGTCCCTCAGGACTCTGCCCATTTGTCCCGATTTCCTGAGCTGCAAGGTTTGGAGACATGTTACTACGTAACTATGGAATTTTTGTTTTTATTCTATGTTTTAGAAATGAGGGTTCCTGTAAACTCTGATACTGTGAGTTCAAAAACGTAAGGTACACTATAGGGTCAGGAACACAAACATGTATTCCTGACCCTATAGTAATTAAACCACCATTTAGGTGGCTTACCCCCATTAGCTCCCTTAGAAAGGGTTAAAGCTTACCTTATTTCCAGTGCCGGTGCTGGCCCCACCCCCAATCCATCTCTTTGGTGACATCATCAGAATTTTTTTTAAATTCTTTATTTTTGATTTTTTAGATGTATATTATATGGAAATACAAAAGATCTTGTGTGTAGCAAGTTAATATAACAATATCGTTCAACAGCATAGTACATGGCATTCTCTTTTCAGTATGGAGGATAAGAATGTTTTAGAGTCATATAAACCGGAGACCCATTGGTATGGTACCACAGTCTGGGGTGAGTGTTATTTTCCCTTACTTGGGTTGTGCCATCTACATGTATCTGGGCTTCTTTAGTGGGCAGTCAGCTCGACCCTAACCATAGGATTTGTTGTGTTTTGGGTCCCAGACTCAGACCATGTTTAGGTAGTGGTGTCTAGTCGAGTATACTAATTCGTGGAGTAGCAAGTAAATGAGAGTCGTTGCTTTTGACATTCGGTACTGGATTGTTTGTTTTTTGGATAAGTGCAGTGTGATATATCCCAGGAGTAGTGGGGTTTTTACTTGCTTTTACGGTGGGGGTCCCAGTTCCTGCAGTGTATGTTGTGGTACAGGAGTGGTGTGTCAGAGAGGTGTGCCGTTGGATTTTGGGCTTGTAGTTTTTGGTGTCTGTTGTGTGGTGTATTCTATTATGAATGCTCGTTTACATTTGCCTCTCTCTGAGTGTCCCATCCTGTCTGTAGTCGTGTTTGAGGTTGTGATTGGGTCTTTGATAACAGTAGTCATGGCATTACATATGAATAAACCAGAGAGCGGAAAGAGAGAAGAAAAAGAGAACAAAAAACATTAAAATAAAATTATAGAATAGAATACATTAGCAATTAGGAGCACTTGTTTAGCCTTCAGTTAGTGCTGGTAGGGATTTGCTGCCTGGAAGTCCAAGAGATCAGTCCCGGGTGTGCCCTTATGGGCGGTAGTTGGCCTCCCCTCCCTGCCATCGCGGCTAGGTTACCCCTGGGTTGGAGAGTCCTATGGATGGTCTTTCCACTCTATTGGGTGTGCGTCTCCGGCTAGTTTCTTTTTCCCCTGTGGGGTTCGCGGTTGACTGGGCTGCCACTGCTGGCCGTGTCGCTGGAGGTGGTGCCGGCAGGTCAAGGCCTCTCAGGAACTCAGTGTGGTCCTCAGAAGCCGAAAGAACATGTACAGTGTCCCCATGTGGTACCACCAGTGTTCCCGAAAGTCCCCATCGGTATCTAATGCCTTTGTCTCGAAGGATCCGGGTGGTGGGTGCGAACCTACGCCGTTCAAGTAAGATTGCAAAAGGTAAGTCATCGTATACTGTGATTTTCGTATTGGCTATGAGCAGACTTGGTCTTTGTCTGGACCGTGCCATTATAGAGGACTTCACGTTGGTGTCTCTGGTGGTGGCTATGATGTCCCGGGGGGCGTCCGCGGGTGCCGTGGGGGCCTTCCGGACCCTGAAGGCTGTCACTATTGGCGGTCTCTCTGCGTCCGTCTGGACTCCGAGTTCTCTCAGGACCTCGTGGGTAAAGCTGATCAGAGCTTCTTGGCCTATTGACTCTGGGGCCCCACGGATCCTGATGTTTTTACGTCTGTGCCGTGTCTCTAGGGAGGTGACTGTGCGGGAGAGGCGCTGTACTTGTTGGGTGAGTGTATTTAGGCGGGAGCTGGTATCGTCCAGCTTCTTTCCCCTCTCTACTTCCCTGCACTCCACTTCTCTCACACGGCGGTTCAGGCCTCCGACCTCCTCCTGTACTCCAGCGAGGTCGGCTTTCCATACCTCCCTCAGATCCCTCAGGAGGTTTTTAATATCTCCCTTGGTGGAGGGGGATTTGTCTGAGTCTGATTCAGACCTCTGGTATATCCCGCTGCTGGGATTGGGTGCTTGGGATGTCTCTTCATCCAGCGATCGTTCAGAATCGCTGGAGCTGCGTGTTTCCACGGGCGCCATGTTTGATCGGGCCTGCGGCTGCGGCCTGGTGAAGGACAGTCGGATATCTGTGTGACTGTTGCTCTCGGCTTGGGCAAATCTTCGGTGTTTGCGCCCCATCTCTCTCTTGGGGGGTTCCCTCAGGTGTCGGCAACGTTAAAATTTGCTCTCTTTTGTGGCAAAATAGACAGTTTTGCACTTCTAGAGCGGGAGCTCAGTAAAACCTCGACCGCTCTGTAGCTCGGCTAGCCACGCCCCCCCGACATCATCAGAATTTACCATTTTTAGCCAGTCCAATGCTTAGATTTGCTGAAATTGGCAAGGAGGCAGGACGGGGACGGGGCCAAAAGCCGGTATGGCCAATCAGCAACTCTTCATAGAGATGCATTGAATCAATGCATCTCTATGAGGAGAATTCAGTGTCCTGAACGGCAGCCCCATGAAGCAGCCTCAGTGGCCATCTGAGGAGTGGCCACAGGAGGTATCTCTAGTGGGCAATGTAAACACTACCTTTTCTCAGAGAAAAGACAGTGTTTGCATGAAAATGCTAGAAGGTAATGATTATACTCACCAGAACAAATACATTAAGCTGTAGTTGTTCTGGTGACTATAGTTTCCCTTTAAATGGAATAGTCAGCAGAGATTGCAAATAAAATGACCAGTAGACAAGGTCCAAAGCAGTTCATTCTGGTGTAGAATTTAAAACATGCATACATTTAATTATAATTTATTTCATTAGGGAAATCTAAAAACAGCTCCAATTGCCCTGAGCAACTGCCTTGCCAAGACTTCTCATTGGGAAGTCTTAGATTGGACAGCCACATAAAATATGGGCTGGTTTATAAAAAGAGGGCTTGAAGAGGCTGCAGACAAGAGATCTGCAGCGTTTGCATGCTGTTTTTAGATATACCCCAATGAAAAAATGCATAATTAAACCCTAATCCAGCTATGCTTCCAGATCACCTCTTTGGCTTTAAATTTGAAATTCACTTTAAATTCTCACTTCAGTGAATAACTGTGAATTTGTTTTTAGCCATCTAAAAGAAGCAGAGCAACTTGGAAGTCAATTAACAGGTTTCGTTCCAGATAGTATTATATTTACACTGCAATGCTACATAATGGATAGAGAAATAGTAAGGCAGCTGTTAAACCCTTATCTTTATTAATTGCATGTGTCTTGTATATGGTCTGTATGGGGAAGAAGTGAGGAAAATGGCCGACCTGGGAACATTCTCTAAGTTAGCTATATTTCCAGTTTGGCAATTATGGCCTTAAATTTGAAATTCAAAGTGAATTCTCACTTTAGTGAATAATCCTGCATGTGTTTTATTGTCTAAACAGCATAGAATCGACCAGTAACACTGCAGGGGAATGACATATACACCAAAACTACTTCAGTTAGTTAAAGCTATTTTAGTGCTTAGAGCATCCCTTTAATTCACATTTTCCTGAAAAAATATTTTGTTTGCTTGAACATTACACTGCGAGATATGTAAAGCCTGGTTCCTAACATTTCCCACCCAATTAAATTAATCATCCTGACCAAGACAATCAACATGTTTTTTTAGAGAATTGTCAGGAATTCACAATTAAGTGAATTTGAAATTTAAGGTTAAAATAGTCAAAATGTAAAGATTCTCCAATTCAGCTATTCTTACAAGCTTTAAGCTGCTTCGATGTTAAAATTGAAAGTTTGAATTACAAACAATTCTCACTTTAGTTATTAGCACAGCCATGTTTTCCCAGGTCAGGTCAAGATGGGAATGTCTGAATGTATGTTATTATCCAGAATACTTACAATATGGACAATAACACACAACACTGTATCTCTGCTGTGCTTCCCACCACAAATGCTCCAATGCCCAATGTCCGAGTCCTTATTAGGCCCTATTACTGTGTGTGGGTCATCCGCAGCACCCTAATACACTTTAATTTTAGCTTTGCTGAAGTTTGACAATTTAAAGATCTCAAATTAATATCAATTAACATTTAGAATTTAAAAAATAAACACACTAAGCTGTGTATACTACAGTTGGTATCACCATGGCTGCTGTTGCTATAGCAACATCGCAGCTTTATAGAACATGGCTGACCAACTGCCATTTCTCTGAAAACTTTCGAACAAGAGGAGAGTTTTGCGAGCTGGGAAACTTTTTCAAATACTTTGTTGTTGGCGGTGGTGTCATTTCAACACCAGAAGAAAGAAGATGGTGACGACTAGAACAACAAAGAAGATGACGATGGAAAACAGCATAACACGATGCCAAGAAGAGGAACGGCAGAGCAGCGTTCTGGACAAGAGATCGAAGACTACTATTCAATCCATCGGAGAAAGAGCTCCAGTTAACAACAAGAGGAAGCTGGAAGATTCACATGGAAAGAAGAAGAAAGAAAAACGACCAAGGAACGAAGAGGACAATAGAAGACAGAGGAGCGTGGATGCTAAACCTGGACCATCATCACAGGAGTCCATATCACAACCTGGACCATCATCACCCGTTAACAACAAGAGGAAATGGGAAGACTCAAAGGGAAAGAAGAAGAAAGAAAAACGACCAAGGAATGAAGAGGACGATAGAGGACAGAGGAGCGTGGATGCTGAACCTGGACCTTCATCACGGGTGTCAATATCACGTCCTGGATCCTCCTCAAAGGACTCAATATCACGTCCTGGATCCTCCTCAAAGGACTCAACATCACATCCTGGATCCTCCTCAAAGGACTCAACATCACGTCCTGGATCCTCCTCAAAGGACTCAACATCACGTCCTGGATCCTCCTCAAATGACTCCATTTCCCTGAAAACTCTTTTGTTCCACAGATTACTTGGAGAGGGCGGCTTTGGAAAGGTATGTGAAAACCCGTACATGGCTATATTAATCATTTGTATCACTGCAGAAAAAAATAATCAGAGTGATATAATAATTACTCTAAAATGCAACAGGAAACCTTTACAGAGCTATGGGTAAAAAGAAAGTTTATACTTAAAGTTTAATTAAAGGGACAGACCAAGCAGCATAAATGCTACAGGTTATTTCAGTCACAGAGAGGCTACTGCTTATCCGTAGAAATATTTTAAATACATAAATACCCAGGTGAAACTTCCTCTTATGGGGTCTCAGGCTGTAGGGTGGGCTCTGGGCACTGGGAAATTGTCTGTTTTTTGTTTTTTAAATTTCTTTAAAAATATTTTGACAAAAACTGAAGGTACTGCACCCATATGGTCCTTGCGCCATACAGAAGGTAAGCTGTAGTAGTTATGGTGCTCGGAGTGCCCTTTTAATGTTATTTGATTTTAATGATAGGTCATTTCTAAAAAAAAATAAATGTAACTTTCTAAACATATCATTGTGATCAATTTGCTTGATATTATTAATTGGGTTAATTACTAAAATGAGAATTCAAAATCAAACGAGTGAAATTCAAATTTTAGGTCGAAGTAGCCGAATTGGAGCATAATTGCTTTAGAGACTTTTTTTCTACTTTATTTATTATGGGTTTAAATTTTTAATTCACTATGGATTTAAAAATTTGAAGAATTGAAAAATTATTTTGGCCAATTTTTATTTTTTTTTAACCTTAAATTGTCTATTCACTAAATGGTCCAGTTTCCAGTTTGTCTAAATTCTCCAATTTTGGAAATATGTTTGTGTACACAACACACCTATCTGCACAATGAATGTTTTACCTGTGTGACTGTCCTAGTTATTATCCTAACGATTGTGATTTATGAATATAAAACACTGGTGGGACATGTTGGGTTATTGTACATTGACTATGGTAACAGATTTAGTGATAACTGATTCCCAACTGTCATCAATGCTGCAAAGTTTTGGTCACATGACCTAATGATGTGGATTAAAAACTACAAAACAAACTTAAAGTAATACAACTGTAATATACTTGGAGTAATGGTGCGTATCTTATAATGTGAAAAAATGTATGTAGGTTATTTACTAAAGTGAGAATTCAAGAATAATTTAAAGTGAGTTTCAAATGTAAGGCCAGAGTAGCCGAACTGAATGCACAGCTCCTGTAGAGAATTTTTCTAGTTTGGCTACTTTTACCTTAGATTTTAAGCGGGTACTGGCAAACACACACTGCTAGGGTTTGGGTATCCCTGGCGGGTTTCCATGTGTTTGACGAGATTATGGAGGGGACCTTTGTGCAGATCTCTCTTGTTTTAACTAATTGAGCCCCCATCCCACAGCCAAGGGACTCAAGGCAAGAGCCTCAGGGTTCAGCCAATGGTTAGTGACTCCTGGGTGCAACCTTTTGGCCCCCAGTGGGTGTGGCTAAATTAAACACTCCCTGTCAGATTTATTGTTTTTTGTTCCAAACATTTTCTTGTGTTTGTTGGTCGAGTGTTGTGTGTGGTGGATGAATTGTGAATGTGTAAAGGAGTCAGAATGTGGCTGAGTGTTGTGTGTGTCTGGGGAAGGCTGCACACCTCCCAACATTTCAAATAGGCTAGGGGTGCCCAAAAGGTAGATACCAAATTTTGTATAACTACAACTCCCATGGTGCTTTACATGCCTTTACAATGACAAAGCATTATGGAAGCTGTAGTTTTCCAACATCGGGGATATACATTTTGGGCACCCCTGAAATAGACAAAGAAGGGCACTTTAATTATAGGGTTGTGAGTGGGTGTGTGACCAGGAGCGGGGCTGTTCTGAGAATTTTTAGGTGGCTTAATAGTAATAATTTAAGAAATATTAATGTTATTTAGAGCAAAAAACAATGTATCTTATTTTACCCTGACTGATTTCTAAACAGAATTATTGTAGCTCTATAAGTATTGTTGCTGTGGAGCTCTGATATACACACTGACACACCAACAGTATGGAGCTCCTAAAAAGAAGGGAGATTAGGATAGAAAAGAGGAGCAGATGGGTTAGAAAAAAAGGCTTGCAGAGGCTGCAGACAAGAGATCTGCACCTTTTTCATGTTGGTTTTTAGATATACCCCAATGCAAAAATGCACAATTAAACCCTAATCCAGCTATGCTTCTACCTCTTTGGCTTTAAATTTGAAATTCAGTTTGAATTCTCACTTCAGTGAATAACTGTGAATTTGTTTTTAGCCATCTAAAAGAAGCAGAGCAACTTGGAAGTCAATTAACAGGTTTCGTTCCAGATAGTATTATATTTACACTGCAATGCTACATAATGGATAGAGAAATAGTAAGGCAGCTGTTAAACCCTTATCTTTATTAATTGCATGTGTTTTGTATATGGTCTGTAGGGGAAAGAAGTGAGGAAAATGGCCGACCTGGGAACATTCTCTAAGTTAGCTATATTTCCAATTTGGCTATTTTGGCCTTAAATTTGAAATTCAATTTGAATTCACTTTGAATTCTCACTTTAGTGAATAATCCTGCTTGTGTTTTATTGTCTAAACAGCTTTGAATTGACCAATAACATTGCAGGGGCATGACATATACACCAAAACTACTTCAGTTAGCTAAAGCTGTTTTAGTGCTTAGAGCATCCCTTTAATTCACATCTTCCTGAAGAAAATATTTTGTTTGTTTGAACATAACATTATGAGATATGTAAAGCACGGTTCCTAGCATTTCCCACCCCAATCAAATAATCATCCTGGCCAAGACAATCAACACGGTTTTTTACTAAAGTGAGAATTGTCAGGAATTCACAATTGAGTGAATTAGAAATTTAAGGTTAAAATAGTCAAAATGGAAAAATTCTCCATTTCAGCTATTCTTACAAGCTTTAAGCTGCTTCAGCCTTAAAATTGAAAGTTTGAATTACCAACAATTTTCACTTTAGTTAATAGCACAGCCATGTTTTCCCAGGTCAGGTCAAGATGGGAATGTATGAAAGTATGTTATTATCCACAATACTTACAATATGGACAATAACACACAACACTGTATCTCTGCTGTGCTTCCCACCACAAATGCTCCAATATCCAATGTCCGAGTCCTTATTAGGCCCTATTACTGTGTGTGGGTCATACGCAGCACCCTAAACACTTTAATTTTAGCTTTGCTGAAGTTTGACAATTTAAAGATACCAAATTAATATTAACATTTAGAATTTAAAAAATAAACACACTAAGCTGTGTATACTACAGTTGGTATCACCATGGCTGCTGTTGCTATAGCAACATCGCAGCTTTATAGAACATGGCTGACCAACTGCCATTTCTCTGAAAACTTTCGAGCAAGAGGAGAGTTTTGCGAGCTGGGAAACTTTTTCAAATACTTTGTTGTTGGCGGTGGTGTCATTTCAACACCAGAAGAAAGACGATGGTGAGGACTAGAACAACAAAGAAGATGACGATGGAAAACAGCATAACACGATGCCAAGAAGACGAACGGCAGAACAGCGTTCTGGACAAGAGATCGAAGACTACTATTCAATCCATCGGAGAAAGAGCTCCAGTTAACAACAAGAGGAAGCAGGAAGATTCACGGGGAAAGAAGAAGAAAGAAAAACGACCAAGGAACAAAGAGGACGATAGACGACAGAGGAGCATGAATTCTAAACCGGGACCATAATCACAGGAGTCCATATCACAACCTGGACCGTCATCACCCGTTAACAACAAGAGGAAACGGGAAGACTCAAAGGGAAAGAAGAAGAAAGAAAAACGACCAAGGAATGAAGAGGACGATAGAGGACAGAGGAGCGTGGATGCTGAACCTGGACCTTCATCACGGGTGTCAATATCACGTCCTGGATCCTCCTCAAAGGACTCAACATCACGTCCTGGATCCTTCTCAAAGGACTCAATTTCCTTGAAAACTCTTTTGTTCCACAGATTACTTGGAGAGGGCGGCTTTGGAAAGGTATGTGAAAACCCGTACATGGCTATATTAATCATTTGTATCACTGCAGAAAAAAATAATCAGAGTGATATAATAATTACTCTAAAATGCAACAGGAAACCTTTACAGAGCTATGGGTACAAAGAAAGGTTATACTTAAAGTTTAATTAAAGGGACAGACCACGCAGCATAAATGCTACAGGTTATTTCAGTCACAGAGAGGCTACTGCTTAGCCGTAGAAATATTTTAAATACATAAATAGCAAGGTGAAACTTCCTCTTATGGGGTCTCAGGCTGTAGGGTGGGCGCTGGGCACTGGGAAATTGTCTGTTTTTTGTTTTTTAAACTTCTTTAAAAATATTTTGACAAAAACTAAAGTGACTGCACCCATATGGTCCTTGCGCCATACATAAGGTAAGCTGTAGTAGTTATGGTGCTCGGAGTGCCCTTTTAATGTTATTTGATTTTAATGATAGATCATTTCTAAAAAAAAAAAAAATTTAACTTTCTAAACATATCATTGTGATCAATTTGCTTTTTTATAGGGTGAGCCTTTTATGTACTGCATTTTACCATCAGTCAGGATAATATTAATTGGGTTAATTACTAAACTGAGAATTCAAAATCAAACAAGAGTGAAATTCACATTTTAAAACATGACAGGAGGCTTCGTATTTGCATTAACTTTCTTTACTAGCTCCATAGCAGCAAAGAAAAAATCATTAAAGAAAGAACCAATCAGAGTAGAACAGAGGATATATAAGTCCCAGCGTAGCCAATCATTTCCTCTCTTTCTTTGCTGCTCCATCACAAGTCAGGTCAGAGTACTGATTTCTTTAAGATTCCTGTCAGGTTTCTTTAAGATGTTTTGACTGTATGTTTTGGCTTAACTGTACTTTATCTTATTGTTTTATTTACCTCTATGCTGTAGTGGATTGGGGGCCAGGGGGAACCTGAGTGGGACTACCCTTTCCTGTCAGGGGAGCTGTGCTCCCTTTGGGACAGGGTACTGGGCTGAGGCTCTCCTATCACTGCTCGTACGGACTGTTGTCCGACTGCCTCCCACCCCCCCTCCACCCCCCTCTCTTCCGTTTCACCTATTCCAGGGTGGCTACGCTCGCCACCCCCCCTTTTTTCTCTGCTGTCTCGCTCTGCTCGCGCTCTAGTAGAGCGAGCAGGCGAGACCCTCGTCTCTCAGGGCGCCGGGCTTTCGCGGCCCGATCCGTTCGCGCCGTCAGCTTCAAAGGCGCGAACGGCGGACCGTTACTGCTCGCGCCCCCCTCCCAAGCCGTTCGCGGGGTTTTGCCGCGAACGCATTTAATTCAGTCCGTTCGCGGGTTTTCTTATGCGCACAGCGTTCGGCGGTTTCAGCCAGGCGAACGGCCGTTCGCGGCTAATCTGCCGAACGCTGGAAGGGCTCCATTTTTGCGGGCTTTGTGCCTGATAGTCTCGCGAGACCCGTGCGGCCATTTTGTGGGTTACCGGTTTTGGAGTGTAACACCTATCAAGAGAAGGCTCTAGCTCTATCAAGCTTATTACTAATTCTGCTGTGGTGGAATTCGTTTGGGACCTACATTGCCCCTGGGGAGTGGGACTGCCAGTAGGGTTTAGCCCAATATCCTGGCTAGGGGTGAGCCCTCATTGAGTGCTGCATAGCGGGAACTGTTGAAGCAGTTCCCTGTGAACCTGGGTGAGCCCCAGTGACTCGGAGTCCAGTACCACGCCACTGCGCGTTTTTTACCTTGAGTCCCTCCCGTACGGTCCTTCACCTCTCGTAGCTATACCTGTGCCTGTTAGTGCCCACGCCATGGAGGACACAATTAATACCAGTGACCTTCAAGCAATGATCAACGCGGCGGTAGCTGCGTCTTGGGAAAAAGCGTTAGCAAAAGCGGCTCCTGCCCCCGCTGAATCTCATACGGTGTCTAACAAGCCACACCAGGCTCACGAAGACTCAGATGAGTTGGATGACTCCACTAGAGAAAAGAAGCGCCCGGCGAAACGCCACTGGAAGGGCGAAGCTTCCAAGCGAGCCGCCTTCAAAGGCAAGGCCCCTATGAAGCGCGATAAACGCACTAATCAGATACCTCCCGTTTACGCTGGGGAGGCCTCCTCGGATGAGGAGCAGGACGTGCCCCACTCTCTCTCCATTCTGGATGAGTGGCAGGCTGAGACCTCCGACTCTGACGAAGGCGATTGGGGCCCCAACGCCTATGTCACCGAGACATTTCTGAGTGAGCCCCAGCAAAAAGGAGATGCGGAACCCCCCGCCACGGCCACGCAGGAGCAGGAAGTATTCCTGGATTCCACGGGCCAGAGAATGTTTGATCCTAGGAAGATCCGCCACCCCCGCTCGGGTGAGTGGGCCCCTCCTGATCATCTCATCCGCTTCATGCATTTTTGGATCAGAAAACCTTTGGAAAAACATATCCGTAAGAGGATGCGGGCAGAGTGCCCGAGACCTACCCTGCCCGATAAGGTGGCCTATACGCCGGAATTTGATCAGCTTATGCTGACCTTTATGGAACAAGGGGGCCGCGACCCACGGAGGGGGATTGAGAAGAGTTTTAAGGGAGCTCAGGATAAACTCCTAGACACAATGGGCCCTTTGGCCCGAGTTATGTACCTGGCGGACGAAGCATACGCCAGAGCGGACTCCTTCACGGCAGACATGGTACGAGAATGGGCACATAATATCCGAGAGTGGGCCCAGAGGGGCTTTTGTTTCCTCGGTAATACAAATGCGGCCCTCTCTACGGAGCGGCGCCGGGCAGCACTTTTTCGTATCGACCCCAAATTAGCTGACCTCGGGGTCAAAGAATTGGGCCCACAGGCACAGGGCAAGCTCTTTGGTGAAGCTTTTATGAAGGAACTGAATAAGCACGTAAACGTCTTTACCTCCTTGAATAGAGACCGCACGTCCATGCGTAAGGTCTTCCGAGGTTCCTCCGCAAAGGGTGTTTTTTCAAGGGCTGGTCGGCAGCGGGGCCGTGCCGCCAGACGGTTCTGGCCTTCAGGCCCCCGTATGGGCTTCCAGCACCAATTCTTCCCTCAACAAGGCTACCAGGGCAACGGAGCCAAACAACCATTCCCCTATTACCAAAGGGGTTCTGACAGAGGACGGGGCGGTCGAGGACGAGGCCGGGCACGCATCCCTACAGGTAAGAGACCACCTTTGTTTGGTACCTCATATAACTATGATTGCAGGCCGTGTTTCCCTGTTTTCCCAGAATTGGGCGCAACTGTCCACGGACGCTTGGGTGCTACAGACCGTCCAAGGATATCGAATAGAACTCCGATCACACCCCATTCAAAGATTTCCCCCTTATCCTTTGCGCCTTTCGGCTGCGGACAATCGCCTCATAAACGGGGAACTCCGCGAGCTTCGCATAAAGGGCGCTATCGAACCGGCGCACACAAGGGGAGGATTCTTCAGCAACATGTTCCCCGTCCGCAAGAAGACCGGGGACTTCCGGCCAGTGATCAATTTGAGAGGACTAAACACGTTTGTGACCTACCGCCATTTCAAAATGGAGGGCATCCATTTACTGCGGGATCTCCTCCAAGAAAGGGATTGGTTTACGCGGCTAGACCTCAGGGACGCTTATCTGACAATTCCAATCCACATGGACAGCCGTCCATTTCTCCGCTTCCTCTGGAATGGCATGCCATGGCAGTTCACATGCCTTCCGTTCGGACTAAGCTCGGCACCGTGGTGCTTCACAAAAATGCCCAAACCGGTGGTATCCCACCTCCGAACACACGGGATCAGATGCATAATTTATCTGGACGACATTCTCCTGTTCTGCAGAACAAGGGAACTGGCCATCCGGCACACTATGTATACAGTACAACTGTTAGAATCCTTGGGCTTCGTGGTCAACAAGGCCAAATCCGCAATGGTGCCTGCCCAACGAATCCAATTCCTGGGCTTCGAGATCGACTCCAGGTCTTGCACCCTACATCTCCCCTCAGCCAAAGTGACAGCTATCAAGAAGGAGATCCGCAGGGTTCTCAAATTGGATTCCATTCCGCTCCGTCAACTGGCACGGATTGTGGGACTCTTATCATCTTCAATACAAGCCATATTTCCGGGACCCCTTCACTACCGAGCGATGCAACGGCTGAAGGCCAGCCTCCTCCGCCAAAATCCCACATACAACCAACCAGTCCCGCTGTCGGAAGAAGTATACCAAGAACTCCAGTGGTGGCTCCACTGCATGCAGGCCTGGAATGGTCGGGCCATCTTCGGCAGTCAACCGGACTTCGTCCTAGAGTCGGACGCGAGTCGCCTAGGATGGGGCGCCACGGACGGAGAAACGTCCACAGGGGGCACGTGGACACCACAGGAATTATCGATGCATATCAATTGCCTCGAACTCCTAGCGGGTTCCTTTGCTATCCGCAGCCTCACAAAAGGGCAGTCCAATTGCTGTATACTGTTGAGAATGGACAATGTATCCGCGGTACGATACATCAACCGCTTGGGGGGCACCCGGTCGAGAACCCTGGTGCATCTGACGAAGGAAATCTTCGACTACTGCCTCCCGCGCAATATCACACTACGGGCAGAACACCTGCCGGGGGAGACGAACCTCACGGCGGATTGGTATTCCCGTCATTGGAGGGATGCCAGCGACTGGCAACTGGACCCGCGGATATTCGCACACCTACAAGACCAGAAGGGACCCTTTCGACTGGACCTCTTTGCCTCACGAAACAACCGGCAGGTCCCGCAATTCTACAGCTGGCTACCGGACCCGGATTGCTTAGCGGTAGATGCCTTCACTCAGCACTGGCCACATCAAGGGGCATATGCCTTTCCCCCTTTCGCCATGATTGCCAGAGTTCTCAATCACCTTCGCAGACGGAGGGTCCGACTGACCCTGCTGACGCCACTTTGGCCGAGTCAGCCCTGGTTCCCGGACCTTCTCGAATTGTCTTATCAGGACCCGATCCTCCTACCGAACAACGACATGTTACTCAGGGACCCGACGGGGAACGCACATCCGATGGTGTCAGACGGCCGTCTGACCTTAGTGGCCTGGACTCTTTCAGGGGAACCTGGCGTACCGACGAATTATCGTCAACGGCTAAAGACCTCCTTTGGGATTCCTGGGCCCCGGGAACACGGAGAAGCTATCTATCCGCATGGAGAGCTTGGACCAGTTGGTGCGTGGGACGGGACTTGGATCCCTTTACAGCCCCTGTTTCCGATATCATGAATTTTCTCTCAACCCTATTCGAGGACGGGAAGTCGTACCGCACCATAAATGTCACGAGATCAGCTATCTCGGCAGCGCACGTGCCGTTTCAAGGAAGGGCAGTTGGACAGGATCCGCTAATATGCCGCCTGCTACGGGGCATCAAACTAAGGAGACCGCCAGCACCTAAATATCAACATCTCTGGGACGTGGAGATAGTCCTTCGTTTTCTCAGGGACTGGCCTCCCAACGAACAGCTGTCATTGAAACAACTGACGGCGAAGTTCACCTTCCTGTTGTGCATGGTGTCCTTCCGGAGAGTGGCTGACATTCGGACGTTCGATAAGGACGCTTTCTCCATTGGACCCGAAGGAGTCACGTTTCACATATCTCAGCGTAACAAATCCAATACAACATCAGTGTTCTATCCGTTTTTCAATTCGGATCCCCAGCTATGCGTGGTCCGGGCCCTCCGAGCCTACGTGTCGGCAACGGAAGGCTTACGCTCACCGTCCGCACGACAACTCTTGGTATCATATGTGACTCCACACGGCCCGGTCTCGGTCATCACATTGGCCAGATGGGTCAGGTGGATTCTGGCTCTAGCTGGGGTGGATGCCTCATTTGGCGCACACTCCGTTCGAGGGGCAGCGGCATCATCGGCATTTTTAGCAGGCGCCTCTCTGGCGGATATCCTACACACGACAGATTGGTCCCAGGAATCTACCTTTCGGACCTTCTATTTTCGCCCGTCATCCAATGCCGCTTTCGCTCTTCTACCTAAGCGTTAAAACTGCAAATACGAAGCCTCCTGTCATGTTTTAAAATTGAAGATTATGCTAGCGCAGTGTACTAATAATCTTAATTTTAATAATGACAGGAGGCGAGTATTTCCCACCCTTTCTTTCTCATAGAAGTTCCCGCCCAGATGGAGGTAAGTAGTTGGTAGGAGTAGTTTGGTTGTATATCAAGACTTACTTACTTGAATTAGCTTGTTATGCTGTTATATTTATTATAAGCTATTAGACTAGTTGGTATGGTGAATTTTAAGATGTCTTATTGACTAGTTGATTCATTACAGATAATTGGTTTTTCTTTGGTCAGTCCCGTATCATTGATACTACTCTCCCTCTCTTTTCAGTTTGACAAACCACAAGGATGATGGGAAGGCTGAAGAGGCCATTGTTATGACCATGTTGGATTTCGTTATGACGGTTGGAATACAGTTACTAAGGACTTATTACTACGTTTGGATCTTGTGATGTCGCAGTAGTCAAGAGGAAATGATTGGCTACGCTGGGACTTATATATCCTCTG